GATCTACCGCATATGAGCGTTGTGTACCTGTGAATCGCCGAACATGGCTAACGGCGTGGTGTAACAGTTGCCAGAACTGCCTTAGTGCTGTGAACCAGCCGGAGCAGCCCGCTCAATTAGCGGCCACGGCCGAGCCAGCCGATTGCAAAAAGAGGGAATGCCCAGTTGGTAGGAAATAAAGGGTGGCAGGCACAAGACGCTATTGTCCAGCCACGCCATCTCACTGGCCCGTTTGGTGGGTGGAAAACCAGCAGCTGTGGTCTTTCAAAGAAGATCGCTTCGATGGTGGCCATTCGCGGTGCTCGGTCGATGTCCGAAGCGTGCCCTGCAGTCCGTACGAAACAAACGATGAGAGCCCATTGCCACTTTCGTTCTTCTTTGTCACACACGCCCCTCCTCCCGGGTGACGTGAGCAACAAGCAACGAGGGCACGCTTTAGGGAACAGGACAGGCAATGCCTCCGATCATTTCTTGTGTTCGACGTGTGTATGGAGTAGACAGCTCGGTGTCAGCTGCAAGGCAAATTCCAGGAAGGATGAAGAGGCCGTTGTGGGGACTGGGACTCGAGAGCAATAGTGGGCGATGAAGACTTCCAAGGGCCATTCCCTGCACTCGGTAAGATGAGGCACTGGTCGGGTAAGAAGCACGATTGCCAAGATCACCAGGGTCATCAAGGACTGTGGTCACTTCTGAGCTGCTTCTTTAGGAAGTTGGATAGAAGCAAGCAGAGCCTGTAGAATGACGCGGGCACCCGCCATCGAAGGCAAATAGAACGGCCCCTTTATTAGGAGGCTTGCATCGAAGTGGCAGGCAATGACAAAATGGCAACATGACAAAGAAGAAATCGAAAGAAAGGGGGGGGGGATTAGGCTGACAGGAGGACACAAGACGAGGGAGGGTGGTGGTCAACTACAAATGCCATATTTGGTGGTGCGCAAGCCAAGCTGCCAACATTGTTGCTTTGTCTGGAAGGAACGACTGTATGAACGACAGGGAGAGGAAAGAACTTTTCATACTCCGAACTGTCCCTTGTTGTTCCTTCCAATTTTAAGGTTACGATGCTTCCATCATGTCGTCATTTTGATCGTCAGCGACACTCAATGGGGTTGACCGAAAGATATGTTACACTCCTAAATTAGGAAAGAAGCAGAAAGAACAAGAATTGAATTGAGGAACGTGCGGCACCAAGAAGGAAAGTGCAACCGTAAGAACCGCCGAAAGGAAAGTAAGAGCGGTCAGCAAAGAGAAAGAACAAAAGAAGACTCTCTTAATCCGGCTTTCCAAACATTTGTGGTCTCTGACTATGGGGCTTTCTCCGCGGTTGCGAAGCACAAGCAGGAGAAAGCACCCAATTCTTTCAAATTGCCGTGGCCGGACCAGCGCTCTTTTCGTACCAAAAGCCACTGCAGGGCCCGAAACCAGACGTGTCGGGTTTTATTTTCCCATTTGAATTCTCCTCGGAGGACATCCTGTCCGAGAAATGTCTTGTTTTCGAAGAAAAACAAAAGGTGCGACAAAGTTGTTCTCCAGCTCCTTGAAGCGTCTCGTTATGAGCTCCATCGGTCATCATACGACACCTGGCCATGTTACGGCCTGGATCAGGCATCTTGGGAGTGGGTTTTGACGAAGTATTCCAGAGTGGAAAGTAGAAGCCTTTTGAAATGTAATAGCGAACTTCGATACGTATGTATGTACCAAAAGTAGGAAGTGCCACATGCTTCCCTGCCAGTCCGCTGAGACTATTCACCTGAGTTTCTCACGTTTTCTGGTTTGCCCGAGTTTTCCCATCGACTACGTGTTGCCATATTTGTTACCGGTCCTTCGTCTTTTGTCCAATTCCAATTTGGCTTTTGTCGCGGAGGCCAAGCTTGAATCCCATCGACATGGCCTGGGGAATTATTGATGATTTACCCCAATGAATCGTGGATTGTACCCTCCTGTCCTTTAACCCCGTTTCAGCTCGGGCGGTCCCGGGCCGCCTTCTTTGGGGTGGAGAGGGCATACTCGGTGGGGAAGGAAGCTACGAAGGTTCTCATTCGCATCGCATGCCACAGCATATTGCGCCGAGAAGGCAAGTGTGCCATTTTCCTCGGAAGCAAGATCAGACGTCATGCAGGCTCCCGAGAAAAGGGGGGGAAAAGAATAAGAATGGAAACATCGAAATCAACCGGAAAGGGGAACCAAAGAAATTCAGCCGAAGCCGAATTCGACAAGAATACACACGCCAAACACACAGAGGGAGTCCTAGAAAAGGCATGATCTCGGGAGACGCAGGGACGAAAAAAAAAGGGAAAGGAAACAAGCCATTGACGAAAATCCGGGGCAAAAGAAGGAGGATGAAGGGCCGTACGTCGTAAGCGACGATGAAGAAAAAAAAAGCAGGAGGGGGGGGTGTAAGCTGCATGTTCTGTTCCTGCCCCTGACGTTGTATCCGTATTCTCCAAGACGAGCAACGCGATCGACGATTGTGCATATGCCAGCCGTTGTTGACATGCTTCAGCATCTTACATGACTCCATACTGGCACATCTTCCTCGGCGTCTTCACGAGAAACCCTGTTCCTAAAAGGCCCGCCTTCACGACGCTCTGCCCAGCTTACGTCCGCCAAATCTGAGAGAGGAAACGGTCGTGCAGTCGCAAAGCACAACCAGCAAGATGAACAGGGTTGAAAAGATGCCGAAAGGGTGTGTGGAGAGGAGTGGCCGGCTCAATTCACGGGCAATTTCACGGGCCAAATCGTGTTTTGTGTCAGATCATGGGCTTGTCTTTTTTTAGGCGAGTTGCCCATATGCACAGTCTTCTTTTCCAATCTTCTTTTCATTCTCAATGTCTTCCACCGTCCCGTCCCCACATGCTTTCCTCGGCGAGGCACGATCCTTCGTTTCTTGTGACCGGGCGCAAATCGAAATCGAAAACGCAACCAGGATATTGCCAACGGTGTTTCTTTTGGCCGTGCCTTTTCGAGGTGTACTTCGTCAGGCATTTAAACATGGCGAGGGTAGTCGCAAGTACAGCCAAGCCGCCGTGGACCCTGTCCGTCACACAGCGCCCCTGGCACACAGAAGCAGTTTGCAACAATTTCTGCACATGAAAAATAACATGCTGGTTGACCTTTCAAAGTGGATTTGGAAACAAAAGGCCCTTATGCGGAGAAATACAAATGCAGCGTTTCCATATGCAGCAAAAAACAGGCCGACATCACCACTTTTCCAGCGAACGACAAGATATATCACTTGCCATGCTCGTTTTTACACAACGCAGTGGCGGGAACATGACTATAGTCCTTAGTATTCTGTACATGCCAAACAGACAACAGTAGCAAGCCACCAATGCACCCCGCGTATTCTGCCAAGAAACTCTTGCGTTTTGTGCTCGGTCTGGTTCTTGGCCAGGGCTGGGCTGACTTGTTCATATTTTGCTTCTTTCGTAGCTCGTCTCGAGACGAATTTACTGCTTGCATGGATTTGGGAATTGGAATCACTGCTCTGCTGGTTTGGAGGAGAGAGCGTCCTGGCAGGAGCGCCGCACGCCGAGTAGACAGCCATTCTTTTGGCCATCTTCATTTGGAGGGGTGGAAGGATTCAGTTACAGTGGGAAAAAGTGAAATAGAAGCAAACCCGCATCGAGGAGCCTCCATTTTGGATTCATGCCGGTTCTGTGGACAAACAAGATTTTCTGACAACCGTATGGAGTGATACCTCTTGATTTAGGTTCTTTCAAGAACGACAGAAGTACCATGAATACGCTCTTACCGCCTCGCAAATTTCAATAGAGCATTCAACTCTATTATGTTGAATTTCCTTTTTTTGTGACTCGATGGTTGGGATACTGACTAACCTATGCTAGACTGACTTCGGTCAGATTCCTTCCATCCTTCCTCCACCTTTTCCTTTGTTCCATTTTGTGGAAGTTCGTCGGTGTCTTTCCTGTCGATCTTTTAAAACATAGAGAAATACGACATATCGCAACGAAATCTGCCCCGTCAACCGTATACTCTCCACATATCTTACGATGAGGCGTTGGTTTCATATATCCGCGGGAAAGGGGCATAACTTCAACCTGCCCCTTTGAAGGTAGACCGCCAGACGAAGCCCCGAGACAGCACCTTCGAGGAACAAAGAAAGCGCATCGACCGTCGAGCCCGTTGTTCCTGGCGTGGTGCCTGACGAGAGCCTTTGATCGCCTAGCGTCCGATTTTGTTGGGGTTTTTGCGTTCTTGACTGTTGTTCTCAGGGCAAACTCGCTATGCCACTAGGTATAATAGCCAAAAAAATAATAGTTCAAAAAATAGCACAGGGCAGAGTCCATCGCCATGCGGCGAGCCGGAGCCAATTGACCCCGGAAAACCTGATTTAAAAGCATGCAACAAAGAGGAAACAGTAAGCGAACATCGTTACGTGCAACCGTAGGCCGACAATCTGCAAATTTCCGCGAAAAGAAAGATTTGGAGAGGGGGACAGTTTGACGACAGGGCGCGGCTGTTCCTGCCAGACAGGGCACAGCCTGTTCGCTCCTTCTCGTTGGGACTGCAATAGCGCTCGTGCTTGCCCTTTCATGCCCTTTCTCTTTTATGGAAGTGTGGTTTTCTCCTGGTGTTGCGTGTATTCCGTACCCCTCCGTCCTCATCTTTCCGGAAGGAGCGGGCGAGGGACAGCGCTTTCCCTCGGCAAAACGATGGGAAAACATGGAACGTACGATGTATACCCCAGGCCTTGTTTCTCTGTCTCTGTTCCCTCACTTCCGTACGTGCGAGGACACATGGCTTCTCTCCAAAAGTAATGCAGTTCACGTGTTGCACCGGCGACGCAGGCCCAGAGTAGTGCAGGCTTTGATGTATCACGAAAACAGAATGGGGTGGATGGAAGGATGTCCGTGGGCGAGGGGCTGGAAGGAATTGCCTGTGAGGGATGGGCCATGGTGGCCCCTCCATCCTGTTCCTGTTAGTGCATAACGCTTGGGAGTATGTTGTATGCTGTACTTTTTTTGCAGCAACTCCGAACAATGCCCGTCTGGCTTCCCGAAAAGGGAAAGCAGCCTTCAACATCTCCCAGACAGCTGGCGATGTGGTATGGCATTCTTTCGTTACCGTGCTTCTTCACTTTCTCCCACCCCTCTCCGTCTCTCCATCGGGATTCGACGGACGCAAGCGGCATGGGCGGCCGCGGAAACAATTGGTTTGCTCGTTTGCTTGGTGATTATGTTCTCCAACGGGCAGGACGCGGAGGGATGGGACAAGAAGCGATGCATCACTAATAAGGAAGAGCAAAAAAAAAAGAACGGACCAGTCGCGACACTGACCCTCGAAAAAGGCATGCAGCCGCGCTTGTCTATTTCGTAATTCGCTCGCTTATACGGGAGTTTGTGTTGTACGATGTAAGGACCCATCTGCCGCGCCTTTCTGTTACTGTTTTAGGGTTTTCTTTAGTAATATTGCCCAGGCTTGTCGTCCTCACGGGCGGCGGTCTTTTGTACTCTCACCGCAAGTCAGGTTTTGCCTTGCTGTCTCGCTCCGATAAAGTCTGTCTCTCATCGACTGTCAGAGGAAGGGCTTGAGAGATGGATCGGCGAGACAAGCAGAATTGCAAGGTGCAAAGCTTTTCGAGCAAGTCGCCGCTGCCGCTGCCCTTGCCGCTCTCCCCACGTCTGTCGAATGACGTGCAAAAGTACACTGCAAAACGGGAGATAAACGGGCCTTTCCAGTGACAGGTTGTAAAACGTCATGAAGTTTTTTTCACCTGCAGGTTGCAGGTCGCAGTTTCCTCGAATCACACACTCACACCCCACCAATTCCCCCGCGTAAAACAACGAGGACAGGCACAAGTTTGGGGGAAGGCGCGGGCTTGATGTGTGGGAGAGATGCTTTTCTCCAACTGGACAATCTTCTGCTTTCTGCACGACCACCCAAGCCAGCATTTCTCTCGTCTCTTTTCTCTCTTGTGCATGGGAGACTTGCTGGCTGTCTTTTACTCGCTCTCGCTTGTAGTGATCACAGGCGGCGTCAATTTTTCCGACGCCTATCCTCGGACATCTCACATCTTGTCGTCGGACATTCTTCTTTCGCTGCTGGCGCGGATGCCCGATCTATGGTGTTTTGTCGTCTTGTGGTTTTGTGCTTTTCTTGGAACATAACTTGCCATGCCGAACTCAAAGTACGGAGTAATTACAGCTCCATATTATCATGTCGTACCCACGTCATCGCAGCTACCCTGGACCGATTTGTGGGCAATCGGGACCCTGAGTTACGTTACGGGGCCAGCTATGGGGCCCCCTCTTCCCTTCTGGTTCTTGGCCCCTTTCAAAATACCAGGAAAGACACGCGAGTACCATCGAGTAACGACGAGACAAATAATCTGACATATTGTTGCACTGGCGAACACTTGGCCCTGCTGGGCGACGATTCGTAACACTACGATGTACTTGGTCAGAACAATAACGGGCCGACACCGAATTGATGCCAGGTCGTTTTGGGATTGTTTTCAAAATTTCGTCAACGCTGACAACCCCGCAGCCTTAATCGACGACACAGTCAGTTGTTCCTTGCAAAGTCTGTGCCTGGTGGTGCATCGTTCTCTGCTGCAATAGCTATGCACATGCACCTGCACCTGCACTGCACTGCACTGCACTGCACCTGCACCTGTCCCCCACCAACTCAGGCCAATGCAGGTCCATCGATTGTCTTGTCTTTACATACGGCAATACTGAGTAATATCTTGCAGGAGCAGCAGGCAAGCGAGCTACACTCCACAACCCTGGGTTGACTTGCCCTGCCATTCTTTTCTGGCCAATTTTTTTTTTCTTACAGTCATGTTTGCCGTTCCTGCTTATTCGATTGAACTGCGTAAAAGCATCGGCTCTGATGGGCTGGTAACGTTTGCCTGTTTTGGTTTTTTTTTGATAGCGGAAACCTGGCCTGGTCCAGCCAAGAGCAAAATGGCAATCTCCACTTCCACTTTGACACGCCAGTTTGTGTCAAGCTTTGCTTTTCTGTCCTCCGCACTCTGTTTTTTTCTATCCTTGTATCCGCCGGTCCTCTCTCTTCTCAGGCACGCAGACGATGCTCCGTCTCCAGGAGAGGTTACGCTCCAAACAACATTCTCCGTTTACTTGCAACGTTGACGTACGACCAGTCGACCCAATTTCCTGTAATTTTAGTCCTGCTGTTTTTTGTCGTCCATTTCATCTCCCTCATTACTTCGTACTGTCAAAGATCACTACCGCGGGATCTCGGGCAAGGTGGCTATATATGTCGGTCGATCGAAACGAGGACCCGGAAACGGCGGCAGTCCTGCCTGTCGACTGACTAACGAGCATCGACGGGCCCGGCGTTCCGCCTTGCATCCTTGGTTCAGTGACTATCAATTGGAACGGCATTGGCGGATGGCCAGGATGAGAGGAAGAGAGTATGGAGGATCGCACTTTGTATTGTTCGTTCTTTCATTCGTTACGATCTGCCACAAGGACAGGCCGTAAAAGGAGGAATTTCTGTCCACCACAGAACAGGTATGGCGACACCGTGTTAGTCTGTTTTGCCTGCTAGCAGCCAGGGCAAAAAACAAGGCCGGTCCAGGGCCTGGCTAAGACCACTGTGTCGATGAGGAACCTGCGGACGCACCAGCAAAGAAACGGAATAGCGAGATAGCCAGGTTTGCCGCTGTGCTTGTCAATTTTAATTTTATATTTTTATTTTCTGATGTCAAGGATTTTGTCAGTTTCCCCCTGCTATGCCAGGCCGTTTCATTAGCGCCACACACCGTCGAGGAACGCACTGTAAGGAGGTAAGGTGATGGGGGCAAAAAGCGGGCAGACGCTAGCGACAGGACAAGTGTGAAAGTCACTAACGCCACACATTGCGCCATGGCTGTTTTTTTTTATTTGTCGCGGCTAGTCTACAGCGTTACACGGGCCACGAGGAACAGCGCAGACGGCTCACCAGAGTGAAGAACCAGGCAGCCCGGTTTTTCTGCTAAACCCCAATACGGGGCATTCCAGGGGCGAACGGGAAATACCACAGAATCGTAACAGCCAACGCGCTCTGATGGACTGGTCAGGTGCTCGCGTAGGGGCTGGTGACGGGCTGGACTGGACGACGGTTCAATTCAAAGAGCGAGACAGTGACGGAAGTATCGCAAAAACGGGGCCACGATGTCGAACAGCGACTTTCGTTGACGAGGAAAGAACCGCCGAGCCACCGAAAAGAGAGAGCGCCTTGCAGCAGGTTTCGTGGAATTACTTGCAACTGCGGGTTGCCAGAAACAGAACTATTTGTCGCCGCTGCAGGCCAGGAATGATGCACTGTGGATGGAGCACTGCGGTGTCTCGTCTCCTGGCCGTCCCACCCGCTGCCCTAGCAAAAGGCAAAGATATCTTATTCGGTTACAATATTGCATTGTATAACACAGGACGAAAGGCAGCGCGAGCTCGTTGATCGTTTCCTCTCTCTGGCGACGCGAAGCAAATAAGAAACGGGCCATGGCAATTTTGACGACGGCCCAAGCTCGCTTTTGTTTGAAAGGACTCGCCGACGAGATGGGGGCCAAGTGAAATTTTCAACCGTGCATTCGCTGTGACAGGATATCACTTGTCACTGCGAATGGTCGACCCATCGGCGGCAGCGGCCGTGTATTTCGTAAAGGTGGTGCCAGCCCGATTGACTTTTTCTTTTGTCTTCGTTGGACGGTGGGCAACGAGCTCTGCTCAGCAAATCTTGGTGCCAATCGATGGCTAGGCCGTAGCTGGTGTTGTATTGCGCACTGCGACGCATGTCCGATGGTCCTTTACAACGTCACGATCGACGCCGTGCTTACCTTGCAACGGCCAGACGAGGCTAAACAGCTCAAAGTGTTTGTTGCTTGACAGCCACGAAACTTGCCCCTGGTAAGCCAATTCCCCGCAGCTATTTTCATGATGCTCCAGTGGGTGTTCGGAGGACAGACCTTTCAGCCTTCGTCTTTTTCCACACCGTGAGCTTGCTTGTCGGGCGGAGTCCGCGAAAATCCAACAAGCATCGGGCAATCATCGTATCTCACAATATAGCGTATGCACAGATACGTACGACATACCGTAAAACTAGAAGAAAATGATTGTCGAGTGGCTCGTCATCTCGCTAAACCCGTCTGCGTTCTCCAGCGCGACCGGCGCAAAATGGCGGCAAAAATGCAGAAAAACCCAAGCATGTATTGTTCTCGAAAGGGGAGGGGGGTGCTGGAGCATTGCCAAGTGGAAAAGACTTCGCATTGCAGAAGCCGCTGGCGATTCGAGGATCCCATCGTTTTCCGCTTGCAGCCCTCACCAAACCTCTTCTCCTGGTCCCTTCCACTCACCCACTGCCAGCTTTCCCACGTCGACACTCCCCACCCTCCTCCCGAATGCGATGTCCTAGTCCTGTTTAGGCCTCTGTAACCTGAGTGGAGCACCCTCACCCTAGCGATGCGCCTTCCATTTTCTTCTTCTTTCCTAACTCGCCAAGGGCGTGCTTCTCTTTTACCCGCAAACAACGGAGCCGCTGTCTGTCCATCTCTGCTTTCGTCCCTCGCTCCTACCTTCGAGCGTTTCTGGCCCCGTCTTTCGGCGACCAGACCTGCCAGGCCACTGCGAGACTGCTTGGCGGCTGGGTGTTGCCAGTCGCGCAGTTAGGTGCCTTTCTTGGACGAAACAATGTATCCAGCTACAGCACCCTCCCACGTTCATGCTACTGGACATGCAAGTATCGAGCTGCAAGACGAAGCCGTACTTTCCTCTCTTTCTTATGTTCTTTTTCTCCCCCTGTCCCTCGTTTCCTCGATGACCGGTTTCCTCCTGCCTGCCACACCCCCATCTGAAATTGACATCCCACGCGCCTTTTCATACGTAGAAGCAGCCCAGCACGACGAGAGGAGAACCAGCCTGTCTCGCTTCTCTCGCACACTCCGTAGACGTGCGTGAATTGGGAAACGCGAGAATAAAAGGAACCCGTGCGAACCCTCATTTCGCTCTCCGTCGTCGTTGTCCCCTTGTCCCTGAATGTTGCTCTCGATCTTGCAACAGCCAACGTCTAGTCTCTTTTCTGTCTCCCGTCCCCAGAATGCCCGCCGAATGCCACGCCACATCGAGGATCCAGCCTGACAAGCAAAAGGTCCACACCTAACAGCTAGCACATATCTTCCTTTTTTTTCAGTTTCGTTCTGTTTTTCATCAAGCTCGTCTTCATTGCTTTCGAATTGGCTTGTGCCTCTGTTTCTTGTGTATATTTTGTCTCTGTTCATTCCGTCCGTGCT